CATGGGTGCAGACGTATTGGTTGAAACCATTTCATAATTATTTAGCAGCAGCAGCAGCAGCAGGAATAGTCGATATTAATGACAGGGATGTGTGTTTTACTGTTATCACTTGCGTTACCCGTCTTTACTTTTGCGTGTGCTACAGGATAAAAGTCCTACCCCTGCAGCCCTTCACTGCGGTGCTTTGTTGCTGTGGTCTCACTTCGTGTATTTTGCGCTCCAGGCTGGACCTTGCTGGGCATCGGACATCTTCGGACCCGAGGAAGATGGGACCAGGACGTCGTCCTCGCTGGTTCCGGGTGTAAGTTAGTAGTCTCAGGGTTCTCGATGAAGTCCATGTTGGTCTATAGGAGCTTTGCTAAATCGACCGGTTTGGGGCCTGGGGCTTGCAGCTTGAAATGGGGTCAGGGGACTCAGTATTTACTTAGATTCGAACAAATCCTGGACTAGTGTATCGTATGAGCATCAGATGTGCAAGACGTGAACATGAACATCGCCCGTGTCTTCAATTGCATATGGCTACGACGCTTACTTTGCTGATTATGTTTGTGGTACTTTTACAGCACCAAAGACGGTACTCACACAGCACCGTGCTTATTTGCTATCTATCTTGTAAGGATCTATAGCGGCACCCTCTTCAACTAACTATGGGTCTGCTTATATATATATATATATATATTGCTTTGGAACTAAATACTTTCTTATCTGGTAAAGACTTTCCAAGCGCGATCTTAGGCGAAAAAAGCAAGCCCTAAGCTTTACGGTGCTTTTGCAGCACCCATACGGAACTTAGGCAGCAAGAAGCTTAAAACGACTTCCTATAAGCGAGCAAGGCTAGCTCTAGGGTTCAGGGTACTTTAGCACCGCTTATCTTAAATCCTAGGCTTCTAATGATCTTATTATAAGCCAGCAAGGCTAGCTCTAGGTTTCATGATGGTTTTGCAGCACCTGCACGGTACTGAGGCAGCACCGTTTATCCTAAACGTAGTCTTAGGCTAACTTAAGCGAGCAAGGCTAGCTCTACTTCGGGTACTTCTGCAGCACCCAT